TCACCATGCTGTCTCACCATGCTGTCTCACCATGCTGTCTCACCATGCGGCACACCTAGAATCACTTCCTCCTCATCAGTGGACTGCATAAAAGCTTCAGTGATCCAGCGCCACCCCCCCTTTTCTCCTTGGGCATTTCTACTTGGTTCTGAGCAGTGCCATGTGGTTGACTCTGAACTCTGTGCAAAACATTTTAGCAACTCTGAGTTGATTTTTAACTTCTGTGAACAACTGTAAGAAACCTTTTGTTTAGATGGGAAGTTTGGTAGGGGTTCTCTGCCATTTTATTTTTAACTAACTTTTCTCCTGTTTCGTGGCCAGTCAGAGAGCCTAGGAATTGTAGTTTGTTTTGTTAGATAAGAGGTGATTTTGTTTTCTAGCCAGAAGGGGCATTCTTTTGTTTGTTGTTTCGGCCTTGGAGACCCTGACGTTCATGGCTTCCCTTCTTGTCTGTAACACGCAAAAACTCTTACACAATTAAATTATTGTAATGCCAATTTGGGTTGTTTTTGAGTTATTAGCTTTATATTTAGTTTACAATTTTTGTGTTACACCTTGCACCTCCTAGACTTATTCCAAGGGTTCTAACAATAATAATGAACCGGGGGTCTGAATTTTCACCATTTACAACAAGATCTCATCCACAATCAGAACTCAAGTCTCACTTAGCTGGGACCTTCCTGGGCAAAGGTCGGGACCTTCACCTATTTGAAACACACCTTCACACCCTTTTCATCCGGGCGGCTGTAATTAGTCGTTTATTATGGGAGTCTCAGGAAACACTGTGCTGAATTTCAGCACCAACGGAGCTTTCTAGGATAATAGTCGGCCGAAATGTGATCGTGATGCCTTCGGGTGATGTGGGAAATTTACACTTTTTAAAATATATTTTCCAAAGACTTGTTTACATGCAATTTACAATTGACACAGTTTACACACAATGTATAAATTGTGTGTGTGTGTGAGTTTGGTGAGTGTGATCAGTTGGAGAGTGGAAAGACGGAGACCCAGCACCTGACCTGAAGCTGTTAGCTGACAGCAGGGAGAGCTGATGGTCCAGGCTGAAGCTCCACAGAGAAGATTTGCTTTGCAAACATGAGTAGTGCAGATTTCCACAGAGAGGACCCACAGAGACAGGACAGAAGACACAAGGAAAGAATACACAGGTCAGACACGTGTTCTGGTAGGAGTCAGGGCTGTCCGTTACCTGCGTGACGTTCCAGCGAGGAAGATCTGAGCCCAAGGTCCTTAAATACCCCAGGAGCTCATGAGCCAGGATCAGAGTGATCTGCTGTTCATTTGGCTCCACCTGCCACTCAGGAGCTGCAAAGAGTTGTTTCAGAGAAAGTTCTGGACTCTCTGTCATTCAGGGGGAGGCAGGCGTAGAGCCGCTGCTCCTCTCCATCTAAAGGAGTCAGTTGAGGTGGTTCAGGTATCTGGTGAGGATGTCGCTCTCCAGTTTTTTCTGACACGACCTACTGGTAAAAAAAAAATAATAATAATTAAAAAAAAACTCAGAGCAGGCCCAGAAATCACTGAAGGGGTGGTTTATTGTCTCAGGTCTGGGAACACAGAGTCCCCCCAAGAGGAGCTGAAGTGTTGCTGCAGGACGTTTAGGATGGACGGGTAGACACATCAATAGTAATGAAGTGTTTGCAGAAATGTGATGTGACCCTCTTGAAATCAGAGATAAATCCTGGTCTTGATCCAGTTCACTTATAGACAGGGACTGGGTTCAGATGATGTCATTAATGACATCACACATCTAACTCTTAAACATCTTGAACACCCAAAGGCCTCTGCCCGTCTTCTGTTTATAGATTTTATTTCTGCTTTAATACTCTACAGCTTCACCAGCTTATTAAGAAATTACAGCAGATGAATCTTAATCCTCTTCTTATTAAATGGTTTTATTCTTTTTTAACAAACAGATCACAGCTTGTCCGAGTCAATAACACCTTATCAGACCAAGGTCCATCAGTACTGGGGTTCCCCAGGGTTCAGAGCCAAGGTCCATCAGTACTGGGGTTCCCAAGGGTTCAGAGCCAAGGTCCATCAGTACTGGGGTTCCCCAGGGTTCAGAGCCAAGGTCCATCAGTGCTGGAGTTCCCCAGGGTTGTGTTACCTCTCCTGTCCTCTTCACCATTTACACAAATGATTGCATCAGCAGCTGCCCCGGGAATTACGTTTTTAAATTCTCTGATGATACAGCTGTTCTCATCTGGCTGCATGAGGATATGGACTCATCATATTTTAATGAGGTTCAGTCTTTTGTTCAATGGTGTAATGACCCCCACCTTGTTATTAATGCCAAGAAAACAGAAGAGATGCTGATTGACTCCAGGTCTCTGAGTGACAACCTCCAACTTTTTATTTTTGAGCAGAACATAAACCAGGTCTGTTCTTACAGATGTCTGGCCGTTCACCTGGACAATCTGTTCAAGTGGGACATTCATGTTAATATGTTGTGCTGCCGTCCACAGATTGTGTTTATTACAAAGACTCAGAGTCTTTGGGGTTAACCAGAAGCTTGTGGTTTTATTCCATCAGGCCGTATTGGAAAGTATCAGCAGGTGTGGAATGTCAGCGTGGTGGGAGTGGTGGCGCAGAAGTTAGAAGATGGGCTTGCGATAGGAAAGTCGCAGGTTCAACTCCCGGTACCGTCAACATCAAAATGTGGGTGGAAAAGGTGGAACACCCACACCTCCCTCCACCCTCATTCGCCCCACTCTGGGCCACTGAGCAAGGCCCTCAACCCCCACCACCTGCTCCTAAACAGGTCTCTCTTGAAAATGATTTCTCGTGGCTCAATGAGACTAGCTGTATAAATAAGGGTAAATGAAACAAAAAAAAAGTGGTTTGGTAATCTCTCTGTGCAACTTAAATCTAAACTTGGTCACATGGTACAAACTGCAATGAAGGTGACAGGAAGGCCCGACACCACCCCCCCCCCCCACAGTCTATGATGAGTCTGTCCTCAGACTTGCTGGGAGGGAACTGTCTGACTCCGCTCACATCCTAAACTCACAATATGAACTGTTTCCATCTGTAAATGTTTAGAGTCCCAGCTTGTAGACTTCACAGATTAAAAAATTATTTTGTCCCTGCATCAATCAGATTATTAAATCAAGTAGACATGAAGTCTTTGTCCAGCTGCTGATGCTCTGGTCTGATTTGGTGTGTCGTTTACTTGTTGGAGTGTATGTTGGAATGTGCGATATGTGTTTTTATTGAGCAATATGTGTTTTAATTGAACAATATGTGTTTTAATTGAACAATATGTGTTTTTGTTGAACAATGTGTTTTTATTGAACAATATGTGTTTTTATTGAACAATATGTGTT